CACACCGCCCACCGCCGCAGCCGGACGCCGGGCCCCTGTTTCACCGGTGATAGCAGCAAGCTGCTATCACGTTTCGCGAGCTGACGTCATGTCGTGACGCCATACTGTTGTCGTAATGGGTAGTTCCGGCGCACGATTGCCGCGACCTTGGCGGCGGCATTAAGTGACGTATGAGCCTAAAAGTAAGAGTTTACGCAGTCATGATAGTATATATATTTTTGATATATATTTTTTCAATATGATGTATTTAAAAGAAGTTGGGTTTAGGAAAAATTTTGACATTAACTTCGAACATTTAGCTGATGACGTAAAACAATATTGCGGCAATCGTGCGCCAGAATTGCCCCTTACGTCAGCAGTATGACGTCATCACATTACGTCAGCTCGCGCAATTTGATAGTAGCTTGCTGCTATCACCGGTGAAACAGGGCCCGGATGTCGCCCGCGACCACCCATCTGTTATGACTACAGTCATCATCCTTCAAAATGAGATAGAGTTCAGGCATTTTCAAGTTTACTCAGTAACAGACAAAATGTAACTTACGACACATTTTAGGTTTTGTATTGGTGAGCTATGTCAAAGGTGCCCCGAAAACTTACTGTTTTAAAAGCGGCTAAGCTATTTCGGTGTTCGGGTTGTAGGATTTCTTTCGTATTGCCTCATCCTCTCTGTTGGATGGTGTGGTGGTATGTCCGGATTTTTACCTGGTCACTAACTCTGCCTGTGCTCTCGCTCTCGGCAGGTGACGCGGGCGCTGCGGGCCAGCTTCAACAACCCGGACCGGGCGGTGGAGTACCTGCTCTCGGGCATCCCGGAGGCGGTGCTGGAGCGGATGGCCACCGGCGGCGACCAGCCAGAGGCCGAGGAGGCGCCCGCCGCCGGCGAGCAGGGCGGCGGCGGCGGTACCGGCGGCGGCGCGCCCACCTCCGCCGACACGGCCCAGCAGCTGGCGGCGCTGCGCGCGCTGCCGCAGTTCCAGCAGATGCGGCAGATGGTGCGCTCCAACCCGTCGCTGCTGCACGCCGTGCTGGTCGAGATCGGCCAGAGCAACCCGCAGCTGCTCGACCTCATCTCGCAGAACCAGGAGGCGTTCGTCCGCATGCTGAACGACCCGAGCGACGCGCCGCCGGCGTCTGGCGGCGGCGGCGGCGGCGGTGGGGGCGGTCAGCGCGCGGCGCCCGCCGGCGGCCAGCCGCGCCCCGAGGGCGGCGGCCTGCTCGGCGGCCCGACCACCATCCAGATATCGCAGCAGGACAAGGAGGCCATCGAACGGGTCAGTCCCCGCTCAACAGCCTGAGTGCAGGCTGGTCGAGAGTGAAACCGCCACGGCTGGCTACAAATCCCAGTCGGCGTACAATATTTACCAAATGCATGCTACAAAGTGTTTTGACGGATTTAGTGCTCCACTAGTAACCCATTCAGCGATATGCGTTATAGGCTGAAGTTATTGCAGTCTACAAACAGTGTATGGAATGGAGGTTAAATGAAACCCCTTTTCTAACAGCACGCGAAGTGGACTTTGTCCGATCCACTTACGACTTATCCCCTGTCGCCGACCTTTGTCGCATCCCGGGCGCTCTGTTATCACATTGCCCCATCCATAACCCCCAAATAACAAGATGCCTGGTCTCTCTCTATCTCTTCCTCCCCCTCGCCTCTCTCTCTCTCTCTCTCTCTCTCTCTCTCTCTCTCTCTCTCTCTCTCTCTCTCTCTCTCTCTCTCTCTCTCTCTCTCTCTCCCTCTCTCTCACTGTCGTGCCCGAGCAAAATGATGATGTTTTGACGGGTCTCAAAAAAACTGCATTGCGTTATGACCCACGTCCCACAATATAATTTGATGTGTCGGTGACCACTGTGCACCGGACTGACGGCTGTGCTCTGTGTCGGCAGCTAAAGGCGCTCGGCTTCCCCGAGCAACTGGTGGTGCAGGCGTACTTTGCCTGCGAGAAGAACGAAAACATGGCGGCGAACTTCCTGCTATCGCAGGGCTTTGACGACTAGCGCGGCGCGCCGGCGGACGAGACTGAGCGTGCGCCGTGTGGCGTTCCGGCGGTCCGGCCCGGCCGCCCTCGTTCATGAGTGTCGACGCGAGGGCGCGGCCGGCCGGACTCGGCCGCCGCCGTCGCCCGCTTGTGATGGAGTCAGTTAACAGACACGATGCCAGGGTGTTTTCATTTGCGTATCCAGCTAAACCTATTGGCTTGTTGCGCGCGCAGCCGCGCCGGTCGGCGGCTGGCGGCGCGGTCGGTCCTGACGGCGGCTCGCTCTGACCCGCCGGTCGGGGCCGCGGTCCGACCGGCCATCTGTGCCGCGAGCAGGTCGCGCCGCCGCCGGCGCTGCGTGCCCCTCAGGCGGCCCGCTCCCGCTCGAAGAGACGGTCTGTTTTATAAAACTGGTTAAATAAATGCGGCTCGAGCGTTCATCTGTCTAGTCTGTTTTGTCTGGAAAATTATAATTGGGTGTTATTTTGTTGAAGTGCACCACATGCATGGTAGGAAATAGTTAGGCCGTCGCAATGTGCGTATCTACACGAGATAATTTCATCCATTGATTTGATAAAATACGCTCCCTCAAATCCTCCAAACCAAAGGAGTCTGGGGACGTGCAACAAGTGAAGGGGTAGAGTCTGGGGGCGAGGCTGGCTTTTAATCAGTGGGATGTGGGCGGGGGGGGGGGGGGGGAGCGTGCGAGCGACAACTCGCTAACAGGACTTGGGCGTTATGTTGATACTAGTAATGCCGGTTATTTGTTAGACTGCCATTGAACTTGGTACGGAATACGGACAACGGAGCTCCTTTTGACATTATAACCAGGATATGCTTCGTAGCTAGCCTTGTTTCGTAGACAAATTAACGTTCAATTACAATGCTACCAGGGTCTTTTAATTAGTATCCGCTTTCAAAAAGCTTATTTTTACATAAATGGCGCAGTAAAGACATTTTGTCATGCGTGATCCAGTGTATGCGCATAACACTATAAGCTTGGCCGAAAGTGAGAGGCACGGTATATAGAGAACGGGGGATAATTTTTTCAGTACCTAAATTTCAGTTATTTTGCACTATCATAAGTTCAGTTTGCACTATCGTCTTTTCGCAGGCAATTCCTGTCAAACACAGGTATATCCGGTCATTCCGCACTATTTTAGTTAGTATAGAGGCGATGCCAGATCTGGCATAATAAATGGGTGTGTGGTAGCTCATTTTGCACTAAATCCGGTATATGAGCACTATTCATGATTTCACTGCCGAGCACGAGCTACTGCTATGATCACAGTATTCTTGAGCCTTGAGGTATTTATTTTTTATGTTGTACGTAAGTTGGACATCAAAGTATGATCCTCCATTCAGCGTATTACTTCCAAGATGAAAACGGAATTGGAGCAAGTTTTGTTGCATAGGTCCTGCCCTCTACGCAATACACCACGCCCGGTGCTGCCCCCTAACGACTAATAGGCATGCTGGGTATATATTAGGTAAATTTGTGGACAAAAATGCGCATCGCTTAGGTTCGTGGGACAAAATCATGTACACAAATGTACGGTACACGGTCTGCCCTCCGGCTTCATCTGGCTCACGATGCAGCGTGACCACTCATGCTCCTCAGCAAAGTACCACCCCCTCGAAATGAGAGCTGGCTAGGCGTTAGGCCGCTGAACGACGAAACGCTGCTGCGAAATGCTACAATCAAGATCCATCTAGTTGATGTGCGTCAATAACAGTCAGACACGTCCCTTCCACGACACGTACGGAAGGGACGTCGAGCGCTTCCTACTAAGCATGGGAAAATGCCACCGCACATTTAGATTAACCCTCGCATGTGTAGGGGGGGGGGGGTCGGATGGACCCCCCCCCAATGGTTTTTCGCGAATAACTCGCGTAAAAAGCAGCCGATCGCGACGGAACTTTCAGTACCCTCGCATTGATCAATTTTACACCTACCCTGAAAATTTCATGACCCTGACCCAAATGACCTTTGACCTGTGACCTCTTTTCCGAGACCATGTTTGGCCGGAATCGCGATTCCGCGTATGTCGGCTCGCATTAGCCGCGCGTTTGCAAGCTTTTCGTGGTTTCAAACGTTCAAACATGTGATTTGATGCTGCTCCCATGCATTAGAGTGGGTGTCAAGGTCACCTGAAGGTCAGGTCAGGTCATTGACCTTTGGTGACCTCGGGTGACCTCGGTTTCACTTTTTCGAGTTTTACATGTTTCTAGGCTAGTTTTTGGAGCTGAATTCGAATTTAGCAACCATTTGAGCATTGACGAAGTAGTTTTGGTGCCTTCGTAACATGTTACGAAGCTGCCAGAGGCGGTTGACACGTACTACGAATACCCGTCACGACGCCTACTGGTTGACCTGACCTGACCTGACCCGACCTGGTCTAAATGCTTAAAGACATCATCTGTGATCAAAACTAACACGATATTCGTGATCAGCACCCCGAAAAACCCCTTAGCAGCCATGCTTTAAGACTTTCTAATAGGTCCCGATTTTCCCGACTTTGGGTCATTGACCTGACCTGGAAAGTCAACCAATGACCTAAGAGTGGGACCTTAAAATTGGGTATCATCGGCTTCCTCTCGTCACGGGCAACACGCTCGTTTTTTCCGCGAAGCTCTAGCTCGATCAGGGGCCAAACGGCAAGGGGGGGGGGTCCAACCGACCCCCCCCCCTACACATTAGAAGCTGGCAAACGCCGCACACATGCGAGGGTTAAGCATTTGCTACTGCAATGCTGTACCTACATGCCCATAGCGCCGTTAGATAACCTGACAGAATAAAGACAGCAGCACTGGCGGACCAGTACGCTTGGGCGGACGGTAGGCTCAGTTCACTCTTGGACAAGAAAAGGCAGGATGATCGGCACACGCTGAGGCCGTACGTAAATCAATCTATCCAAATTCCTTGCCAAATCCGTCCAAGAAGCGCGCCTTGCGTCCTATCGGTCCTCTCAAAACGCATGCGCCGAAACAGACGCTAATCGACCTGGCAGCAAACAATCTGTAGCTAGTACAGACTAGTATTGTAGTTTATTTCTCCATAATATACTAAAATCATTCTAGATTTAGTAGGGATGCCTAAACATCTACCAAAAATAGTGCGAAATGACTACCATTAGGTGCCATTCAAACTAAAAGTACTGCGAATTAGACTGAAAGCAGTGCTAAAGTCCCTTAAATAGGTGTTATAACTGGTTAGGTGCTAAATGACCCTGTTATACCTCAAATTAACTGGAAATGCCTAGTTTTGCCGAAAATACCACAAAATGACCGGTTTTTAGTGCTGAGAAAATTACCATCCATAGAGAACTGTGAGAGGTAGGAGAACTTGTGCTGGGGGTTTGTTTGTAAGTAAACGTGTTTCTTCTGTACAAAGCACATCATCAACTGTCAATCACTATGGTTGAAATACCGAGGAAATTCTAATAAAAATTAAAATTGATAGGTATTGAAATTTGATTTTCTGTGGCTGTGCCTGTGTCAACTATCAGTGTGCCATGCTGTTAGGTTGTTTTCTGGCCATTTCAATGTTGAAGTGAATTTCTGCATAATTCCTTCTTTTCATACCTATCATGACCATGAAGCTCATTTGAGTACCATATTGGACCTGCATTTTAGGTCGACTCCATAGGTTAAAGGTCGTCTTCAACCAACTGAAAGTGCTGCCGTATGGTCATCTCATAGCTCAGGATTCAGTGTTGGTGATCACCACTGTCAGATTCAAGGGGGATTTTGTGGTAAATGATTCTTTTGCAACTGTTCCTTCATCCTTGTGAGTGGGGTAAATTACTTGGAGGGACTGAAAGTGATAAAATTCGTAATTTTTCTAGATTAAGCAGAAACATTCACAACTTTTATCAAATTAGTTTGCTTTTAACTGTACAGCAGTATGTAGGGCATCAAAATCTTGGGTGTTTTTGGAAGTTGGGAGAAGTTTGTTTGGAGGTAGGTATGCTATGCCCCCTGTGCAGGATCTGACCCAAGACCACCTTTTTGGAACCCATATGCTTACAGTGATTACTCAGATCAGAGTTGCAATGGTGAGAGGGCCTGTACAACTTTGAAATAGGTACATAACTTTAACATGACATTCTGGGCAGGAATGGTCTGCGGTTGGTGATATCAGCCCTGTCGGTATATGTCAAGTTTAGGTCCTAACTACAATTGTGACGCTGTTGATACGAATATGAAACAGCAAAAATTTTAGGTTTTAGGTTAGGTTAGGTTGTAGGCTTGTAGGTTTTAGGTTGTAGGTAGGTAGGTTTGTAGGTTAGGTTAGGTTAGGGTAGGTTTGTAGGTTGTAGGTTGGTAGGTTATAGGTAAGTAGGTAAGGTTAGGTCAGGTTTGATTATGTTTTTTTCTTTTATTTGCGAGACATATGGGTATCATTTTTGGATTCAGGATGTCAAATAATGTTAAAATATGAAAAATTTATCAATGAAATCTTCTTAGGACTTAAACTTGACATTTACCGCCCTGTCTAGTAAATCACCTGTGGGTAAGAAAACCATAAGAGACTGTAAGTAAGCAGATACTTTAGGTGGGACTTTCTGTAGTGGAAGCTGGTTTCTGGCCAAAGGACCGAAGACAACTGCATAATGCTGAATAATAATGAACAATAATAATGCATGTCTAATCCACAATATCCAGTGGAACTAGCTGGGCAACTGCAAGTTGTAATTCAGTACAGTCATGTGCCAGGTGCCTTGCCAGTATTGCACCTGGATGGCTCAATGTAAAAGCAGGGCTCACTTATGGGCCAGTTTGCTCCCAAACACTTTGATATTGTAACCACTACCCCGGGATCACTGTGTACTGGGTACCTACCCTAGGTCATGGTTCAGACATTTTGGTATGTGTCACTGCCTATGTCTAATTTTGAGCTTAAAATGATCACTGACCAGCTGACTTTTTCAGAAAGAAGCTCTGAGCCAATGAAGGCCTATGAAGCAGTGTACTTACCAACAGCAAGAGTAGAACTTTGCTGATCATCTGTTTGAATTGTTTTTCATTTCCCTTGACTTCAGAATGGTAAGATTCCAAATAGATTCCTTATATGAGTTTGTTTCTCACAAATAAACATCTTACTTTTTAGGTACTTTTTGTGGTTAAGGAAAGGGAGAAGATCATAGTGTAGGGAAAAGGGATAAATGAAGGTCTATTGATATTCACCCATCCACGGGTCTTATAATTTACGGCTTACATGGTTTAAGGTGTGAGTCAAATTGTTTCTTTACTGTTTCAGCAGGCATTCCTCTTGTCAGTTGTATCATGGCTTTGTTTCAACAGTCCTTTGTGAAATTCGATTATCAGTGAGTCCCCTCATCACAGATTGAAAACCCAAGCACATTGATATAACCTATGTCCTATGGTAATGAATTTGAATGCTATAATGCTCACTCGTTAAGCAGCTGGTTTTATAAGGACATTGGTGATCAAATCAGACATGGGAAGAAATGAGTAAAGGAGAAAGGTATGAAATTGCTTGTTTACACATTTGTGTCCTGTCTTATTGAATATTCAGCTTTCACTGTAAATGTTCACGGATATTTCAGCTTCGTCGGCAAGCCCGCCTCCGACGAGAGTATCTCTACAGAAAATCCATTGAGGAGAAGCAAAGGACAACCCAGGATAAGAAGGATCGATTGAAAGCGGCACTAGCAGGTCTGTATGTAATTTCTTTTTGTTGGAGATGCATCCTTTTCATAGCATTAGCTACACACTATTCAATCAATTAGTTAAGTCTTTTCATGCCATTTTGCCCATTTCAATACCAGGGGCCCTGATGATTCGCCCTTCATATATAATGCTGTTAATGTGATGTGTTGACGACTTTAAGCTCTAATGTCCCGAACAATCACCTCTATCTTTTTCATCCACCCTCTGCTAGTTCTCCAAGCTCTCAGTGCCTCCTCTGACCGATCTCGTCTACTCGTGTCTCCCGCAGAGAACCGGCCCCTGGAGACGGACCTGCGCTATGAGGGCCTGCGTCTGCACGAGCAGGGCGAGTGGGACGACGCCGGGCCGCGGCTGGCCACCGAGGCCGGCACCGAGCAGGGCGGCGCCTCCAGCTCACATGTCGACGATGAGTATCGCTGGGCCGGCGTGCACGACCCCAAGATTATCATCACCACGTCGCGGAACCCCAGCTCCCGACTAAAAAAGTTCGCCAAGGTACGGGCGGGAACGGCAGTGCTGGGGCACGGTGAAGGCTGTATCGCGATATGTTCGCGATATTGCTGAATATCGCGATAGTGCGACATGGAGTGGGGCCAGCTCGCGATATGTCTGCGATACTGGCGTGGATGCGAGCCATAGTATTCGGTAAACGTCGTGCGCTGCTAGGAGACGTGGATTACAATGCTGCCACCTATCAGTGCCTGTAAGCTGTTACTATGTCGGGCCTGCTTTATAGGTAATTACTCTTGCTTGCCGCCCTCGGGATATTCTTGCCTCACCAATTTGCTCCACGAACATGCTGCACGAATGTAGCATACCGTCCACTTATCTGACTCACCAGCCTGCCCTTCTGTCACCCCAGGAGATGAAGCTCATCTTCCCGAACGCGCAGCGGATGAACCGCGGCGGGTACGAGCTGGGGCAGCTGCTGGACGCGTGTCGAGCCAACGGAGTCACAGACTTCATCAAGGTGACACTCTGGGGTGGGCGCGGGTCGTCGGTTCTCCGTCCCGGCACTGTTCACAGTGCAAACTGGTCAATTGACACCTTCGGGGAAACACATCTTCTGACACTGCCAAGCCTAGACGGGCCGGGTCCCCTGATAGGAGGGGGATGGTTGGGACGTGTCGCCGTCTGTTCTGCTGGCTTATTACCTTCAACAGTTGTCAGTTACCTCATAGTAAGCTGATTGGCAGATTTGCATGCGAGCTTGTTCGGTTGCTGTGTTCTGATGCTGCGAATATTTGATGTTTTGTGATAAGTAATAACCGCTTAACCCTCGCCGGCCGAGGGGGGGGGCGGGTGCCGCCCCCCCCCCATAGGGTTTTTTCGCGATAGCTCCGAACACGCTGGCGATAGAGAGCTGAAACTTGGCATACCTGACCTTTGATCCAAGCCGGATCTTTTGACACCAACCGCATTTTTGGGTCAGGTCAGGTCACTGACCTATGACGTCATAAGTGAACCTCTGCACGGTCTTCAGATGTCGCAACTTCGCAACGCCCTCACTGCCAGAGGAGATGTCACAGGGAAATGAAACTTGCAGGATCTAGTATCCATTATGAGTCCCACAACTTGTATATCTCGGATTTTTCCTAAAGGTCATATGAGGTCAGGTCATTTTCGTGACCTCACCATTATAAGTCAATGGGGAAAAATTCAAACTGCTATTCTGGCGCCGGGAACGATCTCCAACTATCTCAAGCACACAGAATCGTGATTTGATGCACTCCTTGCAAGGTTAGATGCGTCACTTTTGCAATGTTGACCTTGCGTGACGTCATTTATGACGTCATCAAGGTCAAATTAGTTTTTCGTCAATAACTCTTGATCAAATTGAGCTAGCGAGTCGGGAAAGGCACCAATGGACTCAGGAAGGCCTGCCGAATCGAATGATATGCGACATGACCTCTTTCGACCAGCTTCGTGACCTGGGGGTGCTGACCTGACCTTGACCTGAGGTCAACACCCCAAGTTGACCTGACCCGGACAAAAAGTATATCATTCGACGCGCCTGAGCGAGGGGAACACGATGCTGCCAAAATCGGCGCTCTGCGGCCGTTTTTTGCGAAGTTATTCACCAAAAACTGAACCGTACCCTGGGGCACTTGACCTGACCTCAGAGGTCACCGGTTGACCTAGGACCTTAAAATCGGGTACCAATCTCTGCGTCTCGTAACGGCGCACACGCTCGTTTTTTTCCGCGACGCGCTAGCTCCACCAGGGGCGAAACGGCGAGGGGGGGGGGTCGTACCCGCCCCCCCCCCCCCTCGGCCGGCGCGTATGTAGAAAACCAATAGGTCCGGCGAGGGTTAAAAATATAACCCAACTGAATTCTAACTCATTAGCCAGGATTCCTTTTTGATTAAACGTAAAAAAGCGATACCATTTGTCTGCTCGCTCTGTTCTATGCTGTGATATTTCTACTTCGACCCTGTGACTCCAGTCTGACCCTCTCCCCCACCCCCTCGTCAGATTAACGAGCACCGCGGCGAGCCGGCCGGTCTGACGGTGTGCCACCTGCCGTACGGACCGACGGCGCACTTCACCCTGCTCGACGTGGTGATGCGCCACGACATTCCCGAGATCGGCACCATGTCCGAACAGTACCCGCACCTGGTGTTCCACAACTTCAAGACCAAGCTCGGACGCAGGGTGAGCTGGCGCGGGGAGGAGCGCAGACCAGGCAGGGGAAGGAAGGAAGGGGACGCCTTGCCGTGGTTTAGAGGGTGCGCCCGATGGTTCGCTGTCACTGGTATGGACTATAAGTGTCTTAGATACCGATTTTACTGGACCTCAGGTCCGCATTTATCAGATGCTTATTAAGTGAAAAGGCTAAAGTGATAAGGTCCGTAGAAGCTGACGACTGTTGTACCGCGTTCGGCAGGTCCAGGACATCCTCAAGTACCTGTTCCCGGTGCCTAAGGAGGACAGCAAGCGCGTGCTGACGTTCATCAACCACGACGACTACATCCTGTTCCGACACCACACGTACCGGCGGGCCGAGGGCGGCGGCCGCGAGCTGGAGCTCAGCGAGGCAGGGCCGCGCTTCCTGCTCAAACGTGAGGCCGACCGCAGCGACACCTGGTCGGGAGTGGAGTGGAGCGGGGAGAGGGGGGGGGGGGGAGTTAAGACGCAATGGAGGAGCATCGTCCACTTTAAAGCATATGCTATTGCATATGCATGCTTGAAAGCATATCCATATGCTATTCATTATCTAATTACTCGCTTTCGACTATGTTTTGTGTCTAGTCTTTGAGTTTTGAGTAATGTAAGTAACTAATGTGTAATTCCCTAACAGTAACCCGCGGCACCACAGGATAGACCGTGTCCCCACACAGCCCCCCCCCGTCCGGCAGCGTAGTTACGAGCCCCTCGACCGTGTCCCCTCACGCCCCCCCCCTATCGTGTCCCCTGACAGCCCCCCCCCGTCCGGCAGTGTACGAGATCCGTCTGGGTACTCCGGACCAGGGCGTCCCCCCGACCTTGTCCCCTGACAGCCCCCCCCCCCCCCCGTCCGGCAGCATACGAGATCTGTTTGGGTACTCCGGACCAGGGCGTCCCCCCCCCGACCTTGTCCCCTGACAGCCCCCCCCCGTCCGGCAGCATACGAGATCTGTCTGGGTACTCCGGACCAGGGCGTCCCCCCCCCCGACCGTGTCCCCTGACAGCCCCCCCCCCCGTCCGGCAGTGTACGAGATCCGTCTGGGTACTCCGGACCAGGGCACGGCTGCGGAGGTCGAATGGGTGCTGCGGCCCTACATGAACACGGCTCGTAAGCGGCGCTTCCTCTCTGACGAGGACGCCTGGGAGCCGGCTGCAGAGGAGGGAGACGAGGATGAGGCGTGACCCGACCTGAGGTCAGCGGCGCGGGGGTGGGGACGTGACCTGACCCGGGGTCACTGGGAGGGATGGAGGGACTGTGGTGGGGCCTGGTGGCGTGTTGTTGGACTCGTGGTGGGGAGGACGTGCCGTGCTTGTTGGTACGGGCGGTGACTGACCTGACGCCCTCTGAACTCCGGACGCCGGAGCTCGGACCACTGAGACCGATCGATCCAGTCAGCGTCACACTGTCTCTGGCCTTCACCGTCCACTATTGCAATTGTTTGTATCATCTGTACAATCGCCTATTGCAAATGCACACTGTCAGTTTGGTACATGCGTATTGCGTTTGGGATTTTGAATGGATGAACTTGCCTTTCCTTCTGCCTCTAGTTGAAAAAAAAAATACTTATTAATCATTTCTCGATACTGACACAGATATACACACAGATATACTAACACACAATACATACACATGCTTTTATTCTTATTTCCAGGAAAATCTTGATTAAATAGGTAAATAACATATATTCACAGGATGTGCGCTTTAAAAAGTATGTCCGTGAGCTTTTGAAAGTGTTTCATTTGCGCCCGTCTTTCTGTGGTTTTATTCCAATAATTCGCGAGGTCAGCACGAGTAATCCTTGGCTTTGAGACCTCCTCAGAAGGTAATAACATGTCTGTAGCTGGTGACCAATATGGCCCCTGCGTCACACGATGGACCAATATGATCCGCTCTTTTCCATCAAATGTTCCTGGCTCCGTCGTTCCCAGTCCGGCTCCGATGGCGCGCTGCTCACGATCGGTTACCCTTCTCCCTTATGAAGGGGTCGGTATGCAGTAGCACTGCTGACGGGGTCTTCCATTGCTCGCTGTCCTCCCATAGGAAGCACTCTGAGACGCAGCAGTCGCGCCAGCCGCCCCCTCACGGCTCACTGTCCTCCCAAAGGAAGCGCTCGGAGCGCAGCAGTCGCGCCAGCCGCCGGTTGAACGGCCGGTAAAAGTCCCTCAGCAGCCCCCTGGTCTCCGGCAGCATGGTCTGGTGCTTGAGGCTCTTCCGGCGCACGTTTTTCGGACTGGCGGTGCGAATCTCCTCCCAGACCGTGTCCGCAGGAACTCCTGGGGGTGGGGACGGAGGGGAGGGGCGGTATTCGCTCAGACAGCATAACTTTCAGTTGAGATTGACGACAAAAGTGTGTGAAACTGATGAAATGGAAATGAAATGGACCGCTTCAAATGGAAATGAATTGAACAGGCGCAAAATGACCTGAGCAGTCGGCTTATCAGTCGACCTTAATAATAAAACACGGCATTCACTATAAGATACGACGCTTTATAAACGGATTACGCCCAGCAGCTATTGCCGGTTTGACTGCGCTGTTGGATGGTCGTCTCACCGATGTCGAGATGGTTGAACAGCGCGTGGAGGCTCTGGGTGATGTTCCGACGGTGATCCTCTGTGCGCAGTACCAGCACCTGATCTCGACCAAACTCCTGCAGCCAGGGCCGGAGGTACACCGCGTACAGTCCCACGTGCAGACGTACCTGAGGAATCGGGGATACGCTGTGAAGCTGCCATAATTTAACTTGATCTAACTTGGATCTAACTGTCGGCGTTCCGCTCGCCTCGCACCATTAATCGGAACAACTCCCTCTGCTTTAGCAGCTGTATTATCCCGAGCACCCCCCCCCCCCTATATTAAGCAGCTCTTACTCCTAACTGAACATTCTGACCAGTCGGTCCAGTCCACAGGACGTTGGATTTTCGTCCGGCTGTAACCTGGACTGCCCGACCCTCCCGTCGGACGGGCGGAGCTCACCCCTAGTCTGTCGATGACCCGCCGGTCGGTGGCGCAGTCGTTCTCTGTCCGGCTCCTCGTGCAGTTCGTCCACATGCCCACCGCCCGCTGCGCCATCTGGTGGAACTCATCGGCACTCTTCTCAGAGTCCCGTTGCGAGTTGAAGTAGAGGTAGTCGGAAAATAGCCTGCGAGGTTATTGGATGCTGTTATATGTTTCATTTTGACGCGCATTGGTATGGTTCATATGACATTTGATGTGTCAGCTCGTTGATTCGGCCTACTTTTTACCTTGTTTTCACGGGTCGGTGGGTATGTTGTTTCCCTGCAAATCCCGCTGAATAAATGCGGCCAATGCAGTATATAGTTGCATACCCTTTGTCTGCCTGTTGAAAGGGCTCACGATTAGATACTATCAGCCGCCAGTGACAGGTTGCCCGGGCGCGCCCAGCTCACCTATCTGTCGGCTCCCTCAGAATGGCCACTATGCGCGCGGTGGGCTGCAGGGCGGCCAGGCCGGCGGCCGTGGTCTCTGCCAGCGGCGGGTACTGCTCGGCGGCCAGCGCCGGTCGGCGGCGCGCCTCACGCAGACTCCGCTCGTCCCACATGGTAGAGGTGCTGCCGTCCACTGGGCGACAGCGGGCGCCCCGGTTAGCGGGGTCCTCCGGTCACGACCAGAGGCCTACCAGACAGTGGAGTCGACAATTGTATACTGTGGTGTTTATTCATGCTGTTCATGTCTCTGGCCTCTGTTGCCATGAAGCACAACATAACATCATTTGCGCCATGCAGCTTTGCTCGTGGGATACGTGCATGTCAAGATAATGCATTGTCGTGTCGATTTTTTCCTGGCTTGTCGTTTGACGCTCATCTGCCTTGCAAAAAGCGTGCAGCAATCAGCCGTTGAAATTGCTACACCGATAGGTACAGCAATCACCAAAACGTCATGAGACTGGTTGCATCTCCTACCTACATCGCTGTTGGGTGTGTACTGTGTACTATTTGTCTCTGATCGTAATCTTGTCGGTACCAAACATAGACCTAAGGTCCAATTTCGCACGTGCCGTGAGCGGGATTTGGCAGCACTGTCTTGATTTTTTAAGATGCATTAACTGTGTTCAAACATTTTATTCAATCGTAGTTAGATACTTCCAGGAATAAATGCATGTTCATATACACATCCGCAAATACCAGCAATCAGCACCAGTTGTAGAGGTTACCGAATGCCGTAAGTATGAAAGGACAGCATGTTTATCAGTTTAGACCTTATGTGCCTCGCCGGCCGTTTCGCACTCACCTGTGATGATGCGTGAATCGGGCGTCCAGGGCCGGTGGCGGCCGTCACCTGTGCGCCCGCAGTCGGCTCCTACCAGACGGTGGGAGACCAGCTCGAACGAGTCCAGGTACTCGCGGAAACTGACCGGGCCGCTCGGCCGGTCCGACACATCTGGCGGCAGACAGGTCGGATAGAACACCTGGTGACAGGCAGCTTTATGGCGTAGGCCGTACAGTGTCGACTATGAGGCCACATTGCTTATCTACAACCTGCACTCCATTATTTCATGACAGATTAATGACCATTGATCAGACTCTTCGCATGGCTAAACAGGGCACTGCTCAGGGATAATTCCTTGGCCGTCCGGACACATGACGTAGCAATATTTTAGAGCATCAGGTCGAGATTCAAGTCATGACCGCCTGTCAAAGATAGCTCCTAGTGTCGGGCAGCAGGCTGCTTTCTCAAGAGTCGGGTAGTCTCCTCTGACCGCATGATTCACCGTCTCGTCTCTATACCTCAAGACCGGCTGCGTCTCCTACCTCCGCTGGGCGCCGGGAAGCGCTGGCGGCTCCACCAGTGCGCATCGCTCCAGACGGTGCCACTAGCGACGCGCGGGTGCAGGCTGAGCCGGTGGCGCAGGTCGGTCGTGCCGCACTTGGGCTGCCCGATCACATAGACGAACGGCAGACAGCGGACGCGCACTGCGGTCACTCCGCCCGGCGGACGCCGCGCGTACGAGGCGTACAACTCAGCCCTGGGGACACGGTTCCCGGTGACTGAGGCGGAACGAGGAACCACACGGACGGACAAGGGTGTCTATAGGTGGATGGCGCATCCCTCGACAGGGAGGAGGCATTGTCATCCACAGCTCCCCTGCACTGCGGGACGAATGACCGTCGCGCTCGCGCTGGTGGGCGCTGTTCCACCCAACCTCCTGACCTAACCACGGCTGTGAGGTGTCTCTGCAGCCTTCTGCTAAGGAAAAGCCAGTGTTTGTTGTGTCGCTGCCTTTGAATGGCGTCTGCCGGCTGAGGGCTGGGCTGGGCGTCCCCTCTGACAGGAGACGGGGTCGTGGCCTCCTTGACAGGACCTCGCTCAGTGACCTGACGGTCAATCGGCTGGAATTTGAATGATCTCTTCAACTAAAGACGGGACCCTGACCCTCGTAAGTACTGTTCTGTGACCCACGGGCCGGTCGACTGGGAGTGAGGAGCCCATGGACGGGATAAGAGCCCCCAGCCGTGTGGAGCGTACGCTGGAAATAGCCGCCGCGGCTCGCCGCAGCGCCGGTCCGTCCAAATAAACAGGCGAGCCAGACTCTCGGACGGCCTGGGTACGCGATGACTTTGTGTTGCAGCCGTCCGTGGCAGACAATGGGACCCGGAGCCGCACACACTGCAGTTCACGCAGTGCAGAGGGGCTGCTGGAACTGTGTATTTCAGTTGAATTTAAGCTTGGGTAGAACGGACGCTATTCAAAGGAATAGAGAGTGATAAGGTTCATTCTCGCCCATTTCGGGCTGCTCAGTCACCGGAGAGCTGAAAGAGCTGGGACTAGGAACAGTCATTTGTATAAAAATGTATACAATTTAATGAAGAGTTGTTGGTGTTGTGCGGTTTATCAGCCTGATAAAAAAGTGGTTATACGGTTAACGTTAATACAAATGCTAAAGGAAGCTGTCGTTATAGTAAAACGTTAGTGATTAGTCTAAATAAATAGGTCGCTCGATTTTGAATGAGCTGCAATAATACCCTTGTGGTATGCGATGAGATTTACATGCACCTACCGTTTATGCAGTTTTATAAAAACATTCTTGTCCTTGCGTTGTACATCATTGTTTCTGAGGTAGTCGAAATCCTCGGGCCTTAGTTCCTGGAGCCAGCAATGATTCTGAACTCCAGGCAAAAATCCAATCTGAAAATACGACAGACATAATTACCTGTTTGTCTCTGAGCAATGCTAAAATCCGTCACCAGAAGTTTTACGGTCGGCCTTGTTTTAGTTAGTACCTCCTGCCTTTGTCGATCGTATTACAATGCTAATGGTTCACAGCCATTATCTGGTTTAAATATTTGCTATCATGGTGTTCTGGCGAGCTTTTCCCAGCGGCCGATACTCACCTTTGCCGGTCTGCCCAGCTCCAGCCTCCAGGGGGGTCCGAGGTCCGGTCCGCGACGGTTCGGAAAGGGTCAACAGTTTGTGTGGGGCCGGGTCCCACATGGGATCTGAATGCCCATACTCACCTGCGGGTGGGCT